TAAGTACCAAGTACTTTTCTTAAAGTATAAGTACAAGTATCAAGTACATTTTTGCAAGTACAAGTATAATACTTTTACTTGAAAAAGTACTAAAAGTACAAGTACAAATACTTTCGTCCTAGCTCTGTTTCACTCGACAACGACCCGAATCAAATCATTCAATGTAGTCGCTGTTTCAACTTTCATCAAATATGTTTTAATAGTAATATCTGTGCAAACTGTGAAACAAACTTAAATTGCTGGTTCTCGAACAACTTATCGAAGTCAATACTTTTAAAATATTTTTCGATAAGCTGAATTACTAATCGTGAGAAACACGAAATATTTGTGTGTGCTTTACTAAAGTACAGGGAAGGCAATAACACACGTACACATTTCCATTAATCCTATTCGAAAATTTTCTGAAAAGCTAACTTGTCGAAAACATTTTACTTTCTGATATGAAAACAGATCCAGAAATATTTTCAATAATACCAAGAGATAGAGGAAACATTACTGATCAAACTGAGTCATCTTCCAGCTCTGAATGATGTTATGATCAAGAGTTATGGGAGTTTTATCGGAAGCCCTAAAACATGCATCACATACTGGCCCCACCTAGACATCACCAGTTACAGTAAACAATATCAAAATTTGATTTTTTTTGACGATCTTGCGTCAAAAAGTGCCATAGAAAATACGATACAGCTCGAATACGGCAATAAAGCTACAGAATTTATATTCGTAATGTGAAAAAGCCTGTAACTCGATCGTCCAAGATCGTAGAAACTTGGCCAGCATCTCGTTTTGTGGAGAACTGAAGGGGCTATTCGATCGAAAAATTTTTGAACGAAATTTTAAAATTATTAGGTTTTGTAGAAATCGGATTTTTCAGAAATCTCTATCTCAAGATCCCAAGGTTTATCCTAACTTTTCTTCATCGAAACATATAGAGCTCGACACGCTCTTCCATTTGATACTAAGTTCAAGGTTCCAGGTTAGATAATGTGGTCCGCAGACGTTGTACAAGTTGAACCGAAGCCGTGGGAAAATGACGAAGATGCATTTTTTCGCTGCGAGGGTAAAATGGCTATAACTATTTTTCGAACAAGGCTAGATACTTGCGGTTTTCACCATTCGGTTCAACTTGTTCAGCTCTACAATATGAGATAGTTCTCGTTGCTGACGTCAAAGGTCGATGAAAATGGTGGTAGGTTTTATCTGGATCAGAGATCGAAACGGGTCGGGTCAGCTCATGTTCGGGTCAGCCTGGGTTCGGGACATGTTTGGTTGACCAGTTTCTGTTCAAAGTCAGGTCAGTATAAGAAAAACTACCTGAATTACCCAAACTTTTCCACTCATAAAAGGAAAAAATTACAGAAATCGTAAGGAATCTGACCATTCCTTTGAAAAAATTTCAAAACAACCTGACTAAGATAACTTTTCTATAGGAAAGAAGTGTTTCTTTGTGAATGTGTACGAAAATATTTTCATGTTTCGGTTATACCCAAGCATCAAAAACAATCTATTACCACCCGTTTCATCTAAATTACCAGATTTTTACTCGATTGCAACTATTGAGTGACGACAGTGAAATTTTCGTGTCCGTTCGGATCGGGTCGGATCAACATATAAGATATCGATTCGGGTCAACTCACGTTCGGGTGGAGTCGGGTTCGGGTCACGTTTTGTTGACCCATTTTGGTCTCTGATGTGGATTGAGTCGATTGAGCAGCTTCTGCAGTACTTGGTCGTCGTTTATCTGCAATGACTAAAACGTACGGTTGGTTAAGCCTGGATTAAAAGATCTTTTTTGATGAAATATTCACCGTTGCTTTTGCATTTGTTCGTCTGCATTCAGAGCGACCATTCGGTATAAAATATAATAGAGCATATTTATAGCTGAAATATACCACAAAAAGCGCATTTACTCAATGCAAATATATAAAAATTAGTTGTTAACGTCTTATGATTTCAAATGGTACACTACCTATATATATTTCTACGTATATTTATTTATCATATTGTAATATCGTTTTACTGTTTCCGTTATTAAAACAGAAAGACGTTTATTTGACTGCTTGTGTGTAAGTTATTTATCTGGATAACACGAAAAAATCTAGATAAACTTATAACTGATGCCGTATTTCGTAATACAAAAACCTTTTTATTTAGTCTTAATCAACCATACGTTTTATGAAGAAATTTGCATATTTTATTAGGAATATACGTACGCTGTATCAAATTATTTTTCTGTTATAGACAGTGAGGAAGTTTCTTTGAGAGGAATTATCAATATAACTTAGTGATCCTGGAGACTAGTCCAAATCCAATGAGTAGGAAGAGTAGCTGAAGATCAACTTGATAAAATTGATCATCGGCAAATCAAGATTGCAAGCCTTAATGTTTGCGTTTAAATCTTTCGATGCAATACTGCCTGTTCTATCAACACCTATCTCTCTTAAGATTATTCATCATCTGAAGAGTCAGCACGAAAGTCGTTTAAAAACCGGCTATTTGATATTAACTTTTCAAACAGTAACAAAGAACTATTCAATTCAGTATGTCCAAATAGAAACAAGCTAAAAGTTTTAGTTAACCAACTGAATTGAATAGTTCTTTGTTACTGTTTGAAAAGTTAATATCAAATAGCCG